CCAGCTTCCTTGTCAACCTGCAGCACAGAAGAGCCCAGAGGAGGGGCAATTGCTGACGGGCGTGGCACAGACAGAGGAAGTCCGGACTTCCTCTGTCTGTGGTGAAACGTACACACCTTCTCCACTCACTGTATCACAAAAACACCCGCCTTGTTTTTGTGATACAGCTCTTAAAGCAGTTCTTCAAATGTTCAGATAAATGAAGGGATACTTTAAACAAAAACCGATTAGACAGTCTAACACTCATCCATACAGAATTAGAACAGTAAAAAAAAAAAACAAGAAAAAAACCTTTCAGTTTACTTTTGAAATTTTCCACCCTTGAATGAATTTTAATGTGGAACATTTGCTTTACCCTGGTTTAGTTTCATTCTGTGTTCAGTACTACCATCTGGTGGTTTTCTGTGACCTTTGCATGTTTGGAGAAAGTGTCCACATGGCATTAAAGGCTTATTTTGTTTATCTACATAGCATGGCAGTGAGAAACAAAAATATTACAATATGTCAAACATATTTGCACACTGACTCAGACAGTGTGCAAATATGTTCACTTTCACTCTATAACATGGCTTTGTGGACGTTGCACCACACATGAATCACAAGAGGGCGCTCAGTAGCTCAAGGTTGTATTTGAAATCTGCTGGTCCCCTTTGTCCCCCTTCTAGTCAAGGCTTTTTCCCATGAAGAGCATCTTTCAAACAAAAAAGCAGTGAGGTGAATGCACCCAGCTGACAGGTTTATTTTCTTTTTTAGTTGTCAAAAGTTGTGATGCAAAGCATTTCTTGTTCCTTGGTGCTGATCCCAGCCTAAAACACTATGTCAGAGCGTATTTTATTCATTTCTAAAAGATGATCAAATGTAAATTTAAAAAAATAAAAATTCAACTTCATTTAATTTTAACTGTTGAAAAAAACATTTATATATATATATATATTTTTTACTTTTTACCTGTAAAGACAACTTAATTAACATTTTTAAAAATATTGTAAATCTACACATTTTAATTAATGTTGACATAAACTAAAAAACGTGCAACAGCAAGGTTGGGTTATTTGCACATCCTGAAAATAAGAATTTATTTCAATTTCAGCATTCAGTGTTTTTTGATAGCAGATTTGTGGCATGTACACCTTATAGCTGTGGCCTCCTCAATCAGGATCATGGTATGAGTAGCACGACATCAAGTGGTGTCATACCCAAGTGATTGTGTTGAAGCAGAATTTAAGTAGGTCAGAGTTAAGACAGAAGGAGTAAAACCACATCCAAAGAATGTACCATTTAAAAGCAAGGCAGACATCTGAGTCTGATTCAATGTTTTTGCTCTAAAACCTGAAGTTCCCAGCAGGTCTGCATGAGTCCCAGCTGCACTCTCTGAAAGTGTGAACAAGTGAGCATGTGCTGGCTGAGTGTCAGATGTTTGAGGGCGGCTGTGAGGACATCTGATGTCTGATTCTGTCCCTGGCAGGATGCCACATCACAGGTACACTGTTAGGACTTTTCTGTTATCATTCTTACATTCAACATTTATTATTATTATTATTATTTTAGTTTATTTACCCAGCATTATATTGTGATTTTCAATTTAAAGTATTCTCTTCCTCTGCTGAAATGTATAAACTGACTTTGAGGTGTTTTCTTCCTGTGTTTCCATGTGAAACAGTTAACGGTGTTTCTCAAACCTTATCAGCTGGAATATTCCCTACTTTGGAGGCTGCCTGTGACTGTCTCTGTTGTTTTTCTTTGCTCTCTTTTATTATCTTTTAATAAAAGAGAAAGCTCTAACAAAGGGTCTTCAGAGCGCTCAGTGAACGGCTTCAAGGAGCAGTTTGCTGAGTTTTCTTTTTTTGCAAAAGCTTTTATAAAATTCACTTGCATTGTCTGTTTGTTCTTTTATGTAAATTCATAAATACCTATCATACACCACCTCTCCACAGTGAGCCTGACAAGAGAACTGAGGGAAATTCATCTCCTTAATCTAGATTGGAGGGAGCTTTTCCATTTCCTCTTTCTGATTTGTCCTCATTCTTTTGTCGTTTCTAATTTCTTTTTCATTACTTACACAAAGCAAATCAGGGTTCAAACAAAACGCTCCATTAAAAAGGCAGTGTTATGTAACATTGGCTGTTTTGAGCTTTACATCATGTTATTTTATTCCCTCAGCAAAATCATACCAAGAGTGTTGTTTTGATTCTTTCATGCATGTTCGAAAAATCCCTTAATTTTCATGACAACCAGCAAAAGGGCTGGTGGGACAGAGCTCTGACTTCAAGACGTTGCTCCTCCTCAGAGCTGGATTTTCCAGAAAAAAGTCTACATTCCACCTCTCCTGCCTCACGACTCCTTCAGACTAGCTAGCAGCAATTAGCAAACACCTAGTGGAACTGCACATCTGCTAAGCTCATTATAGGAGCTACTTCTCAGTGCAAAGCTGGCAAACTGTCATTGAAGTTTTGCAAAATACATTTGTTTTGATACAGCACTTCCTAGCACAAAAACCTTTTAGTAAAAACATGATTTTTGGAATTGGCGTGTTTCCATCAAGCAAATGTATTTTTGTAATTTTTCAATTGTAAGGTCAATGCTTCTCCTTTATCTTTGTGGATATGTGCACCTCGATGTCATAGAGTATTGAACCCATAACCTGAAAAGCCGTCATTGGCTCTGCTTGACGTCCTGTCATGATTTCTGTCTGTTTCTCTAACAGATTTTGTAATGAAATCTCTGACCTTTAGGACATTGACTACTCAGACGTATTTCACACAATTGTAGCTATAACAGGAGTTTAGCTGTTTACTTCACACATTCCAGTCAGACCAGTTTGAGTCCAACAAAAACTTTTAGCCATGATTCTGCAGTTTTTGTCACATTTTATTAAATTCTTTTTTAAAGAAACTAATAAATGTTTCTTTAACACAACATATTACACAACATAGAAATGTAGGAGTGTTTTTCAGGATTTTGTATTTTCACAAATGCTATGCAATCAGGTACGGGGAAATAAGCACTAAAAGAATTTCCCCTTTATAAAATACTTTTCCCAGAACATGTGATTTATTTTCTTATTTCTTACTGTTTATTTCTAAAGTGCTAAAATGTTGTTATAATGAAAAGTTATATCCTACATGCTCTTATGCAGGGTGGCACAAACGATGTGGAACATGTGGGCTGTGATGCAGCATATTGACAATTTGTTTCATAATTTGTTCCTCATTAATTCAGAAATGTGTCTCCATTTTTGTATATGCACCTGAACTCAATTTGCAGACTTTTACTTTTGAAATTAGTTGAGTCTTTAAGCATAGCTTCACTTTCACTCTATAACATGGCTTTGCGGACGTTGCACCACACATGAATCACAAGAGGGCGCTCAGTAGCTCAAGGTTGTATTTGAAAGCCGCTGGTCCCCTTTAACCCCCCACCCCCCTTCTAGTCTAGGCTCTTTCTCATGAAGAGCATCTTTCAAACAAAAAAGCAGTGAGGTGAATGCACCCAGCTGGCTGCACTCCCATTGTGTTGTTGGGGTCACAGTGTTGTTCCAGCATCATGAGCATCAGCACAAACAGCAGCTGGCATGTTCCAGTCTCACAAATCCCACTGAGTCATCAGCAGGCGCCTCCTCTTTGTCCACAGGCTTAGTTGGGCTCTGACCCTCACCGGCTCACCCACGCACACACACGCAAACACACACACACACACGCACACAGAGCACCATTGTGACCTCTAACATTACAAAAACTCACACAAGGCAGATGCTTGGACATGTGCGTTCACCTTTAACCTTCATCAACATGTTTCAAAAGCTTTAGAAGTTCAAGTTCAGAAATAATTTTTTCTCTTTGTCCCACAAAGGGAGATGAAGTCCCACATTTCCACAGACTTTGTTCTGTTCAGGTGGTCATTACAGGTCAGATATTTGTCTGATCAGAATCTGTCTGTAAAGCAGCTCCTTTAGCTGGTTCCAATCAAACTGGATGAGCAAAGTTATGCATTGATTGCCTTAACTCTGCAATAAAATGTCCAATAATAAAAGATGATTATGATCCAAACATATACGTATTTGTCACCCACCCAGTGTGACATCACTATTGTCGCCGGGACACTGGACACTACACTACCAAGAAAACTACAAAGGTGAATTGTGTATGTATTATGAATTTTATTTTAAACTACCTATACGCATCATTTTCATAATCTTGAAGGTTCAGGCTAAAGGTTTTAAAAAATGATGAAAATGACAATTAAACATTTATTACTGAAGAATAAGTGCAACGTGTCACTAACTCACAATAATGATTCATGATTTTTATTTCTTTATGGACTGCTCTACTTCTTTATTGATTTCTCCCTGTTTCATGTCCCTCCTATAATGTGTAACCATAGGAACAAAAGATCTGTTTACTAGTTGATAAGAAGTGATGCTGGAAGTGAGATCCTCTAATCCCTGATGAATTAATTATAGACAATGTGGATGTAGAGCAGCAGTAAAGTGAAGATTTGAGCTTTCTCCTTCCTCCTTTATGAAATGCAATGTGAGATCTCTGGAAAATAAGATGACCGGCATGAAGCTTTACATTATGTTATGATATGATGTTATTCTCTTATCTTTAACATACATGGAGTGTTGCTTTGATTCTTTCATGGGTGTATGAGAAACATCTGGGTGGACATAGCACCACCTTCGAGACTCAGGTTGTCCTCAGAACTGCAAGGGAAGAGCAGCCTTCCCTTGCAACTCCCTCAGCTCCTTCAGACTAGCTTGGAGCAATTAGCTTACAGGCCAGAGGCAGGGTCACCCTTGATAGGTTGCCAGTTAATTGGAGATGCATTCCATTAATTCTTCCAAATTGAAAATTATCATCCAATCCATCCATGAACCTGTTTCTTGCTATCAGACAGCAGTGCTCCAGCTGTTCCACTGTGCAGCTCATTTAAGCAGATAAATAACCACAGGAACAAAAAATGTTAGAGCTTATGGCCTTTATTGGAACACATTATGAGTTTTAGCTGTCTGATTTTGGCTGCTCCATGACTCTCCTGATAGAAACAACAGTCGCAGTCAAGGCTCCCCACTCAATAGGACTTCCATACTCCCCTTTCTCCAGCAGGTACTGCCGACCACTGAAGTTGGGGTGTTCATAGAACACCCAAGAACCCTGGAGGACCTTGCAGGACATGACTTGACATGACCATTTTTCTAACAAGGAATTCATATTATCTGTCACCTCCAGAGTCGGACCGTTAAAGTTTGGCCGTCCATATAGCTTGACCTTGAATGGGCCTTTGCACTGAAAACAGCAAAATAAGTGTGTTTAGTTGAATGTCCAAGGTGTGTTTTACGGTGTTGTGTTTTCTGGAGACTCACGTTTTTGATAATTTTGCAGGATCTGACACAGTCATTAAAACCCATCCATTGACCATAGCCAGTATACTCTCCAGGGCCAATTATATACTGGACCTGCACCTTCACAGAGTTGCATCGGCGGATCAATCAATCAATCAATCAAATTTTATTTGTATAGCACATTTCAGCTACAAGGCATTTCAAAGTGCTTTACATCATAAACACAAAACACAAAGGCATGCAACATAGAATAAAATACCAAGGTTTTTTTTTTTTTTTTTTTTTACCCTTTCTTCTTCCTTCCCTTTGACACGGAATTTAAGCGCCTGTTACCGCCGGACTCCGCCGTCCGTTTATCCACGGTTATTCGCCGGGCCCCGTTGCCCACAACAGGAAAAAAATAAAATAAAATAATTACATACATATCCACAAAATCAAATCCATACATATTACATTTCAAATGCAACTCTAAACAGGTGCGTTTTTACTTGAGATTTGAAGGAAGTCAGGGTTTCCGTTTTACAGTTTTCTGGAAGTTTGTTCCAAATTTTTGGTCCATAGATGCTGAAAGCTGTTTCTCCTCTTTTGGTTCTGGTTCTGGGGATGCAGAGCAGACCAGAACCAGAAGACCTGAGAGGTCTGGAAGGTTGATGTAGCTGTACAGGTCAGCTGAGTCCCCTTTGCAGTCGTAGGACTTTCCCTGGAAGTCTTGACCTTCATAAAACACAATCTGAAAATAAAGACAAACAGACGCATCCATTGCAAACACATTTCCTATCAGAGATCTGAGTTTAAAATCATAAATCAATTAACAGGAGTTAGTTCCCCCCATGACTGTCCAACCTTCTCCATTTGTAGAGTTTAAAATACTGCAGTCACTAACGAACAGAGTAGTCTTTATACGTGGCAGGAACAATACTAACAAATGCGGGGTTAGCAGGACATGTAACACTTATTATAATTCAAATATTTGTCTAGAGTCTACCTTTTGTTCTTACTCATTGAATTATCTCTCAACACACAACAGTAGCGTGGCAGTGCCAAGAATCAGAACCAGCTACATCCAAACACATCTGAGCTGGTGCAAGTTGTGCAGTTTAATTTTGTGGCTCACTTCATAACTACTATCAAAGACTTCCTGTTCATTCATTTGTACGAGACAATGATTTATATGAACATTAATTAATGCATTGTTTATGTAAAACCTAGGACACCACCTCAGCTGTGTATGTCAAGAGGAAAAGAATCAATGATGGCAATAATAATAATAATAATAATAATAATAATAATAATAATAATAATAAATAATAATAATAATAATAGTAATAATAAAAACGTTAATTGAGGGACCACTGAAACTCTGTGATCATGCTCAAGGATCTAGCTGCAGGGGAGTTGGTGCCCCAGTGTGTGTAGTTTGGACACTTGGCACGTTCTAGAAAGTATTGGTGTCACCGACAGTTGTACTGATCATAGAGGACCCAAGTCCCGTCCATCACCATGGACAACCGGAACTCCCTGAACCTAAATAACTTATAAATTGATGTTCAGTCCTCAACATACTCTGTTCCCTGACCCCCAGAATCCTGTGGGCTATAGAACCTGATCTTCCAGGACTTTGTGTATATCTGGAAGACATGAGTAAGAGATCAGGAAAAATATGTAGCTGAATCGGATCTGCAGTATTTTAACGTTTTAATAATCTTTTATCCTTCCTGTTTTTCTTATAGGCTTTCAGTGAATATTGCTTGGTTGGTGGACTCTTTGGCATCCAGTTAACAATCATTGTTAGAGCCTATAGCTTTATTAGCCTGAAAGAAAGGGTGAATCATAGTGCCTGTAGAACAGTAACCCATATCTTGAGCTTATATTTTTAATAAAGTGACATGACTGAATGCTCTCTCTGAATCCTGTCCAGTGTTGGCTCTCAAGGGCCACTCATACAGCTTGGAAGGTCTTGTCTTCAAGGGGAAAAAAATGTATGTGAGGAAATATAGAGGTAAGATTAGGGCCAAACTAATTGAACAATCTGCAGACAGGGCAAAGCTTTGCTATTCAAATTAGCCCGATTTGCATATCAGCAAAATCCTTTGGTCGAGTTTGATTTCCTTTTGCCCACATGTGATAATCCCTGATCAAAGTGCCAAATCAATGTAATGCCAACCCTATAAAGGCCCTGTTGGTAGAACGTGTGTGATTCATTCTGCAGTCATGAAGATGGCGTCTTGTTTTTCTTTGATGGTTCTAAAGCAGTATGAAGTCAGTATGAGATTGCTGCTGACTTGATTGTGAAAATTTGACAGAAAATGTTAAACTTGTTTTTACAGACCTTAAGATGAACCAATTCATAAGCATGTGATGTTTATTTGGTGAAACTTTGAAAATTCCTCCTGTCCATAATTCATCTTCTAGGAAAACATTACCAGTTCCTGGGCTTTTAAACTGAAGGGCATCCCAGAAGTAGAACAGATGCAACTCTCTGAAAACAGTGAAATCCCTGGAAGTTATTGGGAAACTGTTTGAGTGGCTGCTCCAGCAGCAACGTTTGATAAAAACCTAGAAAGTTAGTAAGGATCAAGGGTGAAGCAACATACAAATGGGATGAGAGAAAACATATTCACTTCACAAGAATTGGGTTAGAGGAGATTTTGACAACATTTTATGTTACAGGGCAAAGATTTCACAAATCACCAATTTAGAATGAATCTGTATTTAGCAATAACTCATGCTTCAGTTTTTCATCTGATTTGCTGCAGATAATCACCTAATTAACTCAAAATACCTGCAAAGGTTTCCTGGGCCTTTGAAAAGACTCTCACTCTAATGTGATGCTGTCATTTTCTGAGACCCTGAATTTTGGGTGAAAACCATAATCATTAAAAATGCCAAAATAAATAAATAAACAAATAAATAATTAAAAGCTTGAAATATGAGCAGTTTCATTTTCTGAGATGACTGGCAAGAAATATCATACTTTTATGCAATACTTTCCTTATTTTCACAAATACTAGTACTCTCAGTCCTGCAGTGTTACAGAACTGAGGACTGTAACACTGCAGGACATGTCTAAAATAAACATGTTTCCACCACATATTATATTGTTGATGCGAGGAACATCCATGTTGAAATGTGAAGTCAGTCTTACAAGTCATGACTGGAGGTAGCTGAGGTAGCTGGAGTTGATCTCAGTTTACCAGAGGCAAATCTGACTTCAGATGACGCTCCAGTTAATTTGTCTGACTGAGAAGTTGTAATTTCCCAGCTCATACAACATACGGAATGCAGCATAAATTCAAATTTAAAAGGTTGTTGACATTTATCAAGCCCTTTTATTTAAAATGTAAAACAGAAAAGTACGGTAAAACCAACTGAACACCAATACATTGTAAATGTTCTATCAAGACCTGCAGAAAGACTGAAAATTGCTCAGGTCCTTTCTGTTGATGTAAAGTGAATTGGGCCTAACTTGGAAACTTAATAAACCAGGAAGTTATTGTTTGACTTAAATCTTACTCATTGTGTAGTTTTACATAATTTCAATAAATCAGATAAGAAAACAACTGGTTTTCTAAAGGAAACTGCTCTGTGTGCTTTTTGAAATTGGATTATTAATTGTCAGCTTGTCACAGTAAGTTGGTCACAAGCTTATTATTAGGTCAAAAACAAAAAGCTTTTTTTTGTTAAAACAGCTAAAAATCTTTTCTTATTAACTAGCAGTTTTGTCCTTTTTGTTTTCTGCTGTAGAAGCATTGGAAATGTTTCACACATACAACTACTAAATTTAAAACATCGATCCAAATCAAATAATGTTTAAATATGATGAAAATTCCTCTTATGTATCATTTAGTCTTGGAAATATTTAGCTCAGTTCTTCTATGTGTCTTTCACTCATTTCCCTTGTCCTGAATCATGATGACACAAATGAAATTAACTGCGATCGTAGAGCTGCTTATTCATCAGCTTCCAGATAATTTAAATAACAAAACCCTCTAACAGCCCGTATAACGTATAAAAGCCGCCTGGCAGCTGCAGGTTGTTGGACAGAATCCCACAAATGCACATCAAACATGGGCAAGGTGGGTAGAGAGTTCACCAGAGAACTGTTTAGGATGTATGCTGCAGAGAAGCAATGCATACAAGTGATAAAATCACAGAGAAGGACAACATGTTCATTTAAAGCTTCTCTTTGTTTTCTAGATTATCTTCTATGAGGAGAGGAACTTCCAGGGTCGCCACTATGAGTGCATGAGCGACTGCTCTGACATGTCCTCCTTCCTGAACAGGTGTCACTCTTGCAGGGTGGAGAGCGGCTGCTTTGTTGTCTACGACCGTCCCAACTTCCTGGGAAATCAGTATTTCCTGAGAAGGGGGGAATATTCCGACTATGGGTCTTTTGGCATGAGTGACTCCATCCGATCCTGCCGTTTAATTCCCCAGGTATACACTGAAAACATCCTAGATGATAGTTATTGACTTTGTGTTAGAAATTTCATTTAATTTAAATTATGCTTTTCATACTTTAACAAAGTCAATATGAGTAAGGTCATTGCTATGTGTCACACCTTTTGGTTCATCCAAACAGCACAGAGGTTCTTTTAGGATGCGCATCTTTGAGAGGGAAAACTTCCTTGGTCAAAGCCACGAGCTTGTGGACGACTGTGACAACATTGTGGATCGCTACCGCATGTCTGACTGCCAGTCCTGCAGCGTGATGGACGGCCACTGGCTGATGTACGAGCAGCCCCACTACCGAGGCAGGATGATGTACCTGAGACCTGGAGAGTACAGGAGCATGAGGGAGCTGGGGCACAGCAGCATGAGGCTCAGCTCTGTCAGGCGCATTATGGATTCCTGCTGAGGCAGAACAGTCATGTGTCTCCAAGTCAAATAAAACATACATCAAACACTGACTTCTAGTTTTATCACTCGATTTTGCAGATGGCTGGAGCGTGTGTGTGTGTAGGTTGTGAAAGTTCTGTTATATATTTTATATATAATATAGTTTTTAATACGTTAGAAACTATTTTAAATTCTCAGGAGTAGAATGCAAAATCTTTTGATGTCATAAGCTGCTACAAAAACCTAAAGCTGCAATAAGTATCTTTTAAAAATTTAAAAAACATAAATTTGTTAAAATTGGCACTATGTTGGGAAAGAATAACACAAAACAGATAAACTTTGAAGATCTGCCTCTGCAGAAATACATGTTCAGAAGCATCCAATCAGAGCCTGGAGGTGGGTCTTAGTACTATCGGTCAAGCTTATGAACACACTACTTACTTGGTTTGCTTCATTTGTGGAAAGCTTAATTTTCTTTTACCAGTTCTTAAAAATGATCTTCTGTATTGACCACTGATGGAATAGTTAATTTCAAAAAGTAACTTTAATTATTGATTACTCCTCAAAAAAGTAACTTAGTTTGATTATTGATTACTTGATTTGGAAAGTACATTAAAAGTTACATTAAAAACTTTAGCTGCTGAAGGTCATTTTTAGTTACTTTCAGCAACTGTTAACAATAATGTTCTACCAGCTGTGAAAATTACATTGAACTTTGCTAATACTTAATTCCAAGTTTTTGTATGATGTAACATCAATTATGTGTCTCTACTTAACAGGTTGAACTAAAGGTTAGATTGTTTAACAATTACAACAGTACAAAAAAAACTTTAGTAATTTTTTGAATGTCTTTTTGTGTTCTGCTATTGCCTGGAAAACTCTAAGTCGAATTTTAGATTCCTCCCCAGCCTCTCTGCCCCAGATTCCAGGTTGTGAGTTACGGCCCTGTGTTTGCTGTCAGAGCGCAGCGCACAGATCTCCTCCTGCGGCTCCACAACTCAGATATCCCGCTGCACTGATTAGTGACCCTTATCTTAATATGAATAATTATGATGGTATATAGCTGCACAACTTCACGGTCTTGTTCATGGCTGTTTTCGTGTTTATTGCACTGTTCATATTAGTTTTGATGTTTGCGGTTTTCTGGAGCGCAACACGAAACTCAACATCATTCACTGCAAATATTGTATATTAACTTGACATTAACAAAAATACCAGTGTTGTATAAAGTACTAAAATCTCAGAGTCAAGTAAAAGTATAGGTACCTATCTAAAATATGACTTCGATAAAAGTCCAAGTTACTGACTGAAATGTTACTTGAGTTAAAGTCTTAAAGTATCTGAAATGTCTTGTACTTAAGTATGAAAATTACTGTAAAAATGGAAGTACTCAAGTAATGTAATGAAAAGTATAAGTAAAAAGTAAAACTAGGCAAATGAAGTTTGAATGACATTTTTTATATTTTGGTAAACTTGTCAAATACACTTAAAATAATGTGCAGGCAAAATGAAACCTGCTAATAGATATACCTGCAGGCATCATTTAGTTAAGAAAATCAGGTGCTTTACATATATCACAAGGTTAACTTAACCTGCTTTACAACTGAACCAGCTTCTTAGTATACCCTCTCAGACAGAAAATACAAAGTTTTTGTAAGCCTTAAGTTTTTCCTTTAAGTAAGGTGAGTGCTGAAAATGAGAAAAATAAATAGTCAGTACAGAAAATGCGGCCAACATGAAGAAAAAAAGCCGTTACGATTATTTTATTTCACAAACTATAGGTGCACACAACTGGTCATTATGCAAAAGAAAAAAAGAATTGGGAGGGAAATGCAGCTTATTTGACATCTAAAGAGGGAGAGCTTTTTTGTTAACTTGGTGTTAAATGGGAGAAGCAAAACTAAATCTATTATAACTACAAATGTAAGAATGATAACAAAACATAATTATTTAAACAATTATTAATGATATTTTTAGTAAAATTGAAAAAGTTTGGAGTAACTATATGCGGATGATGGTCTAGTACGGAAAAAAGGGAAAAATAAAAAGTTTATAAATAATAAAATGCAAGAAGCGTTGTATAATGTAGAAGATTGGGCTATAAAATGGGGATTTAGAATTCCAATTTCAAAATCCAAATTTGTTACCTTCACTAATAGGAGAGAGTAAGTACTAATGTAAGGTTAAAAATGTATGATAAGGATGTGGAAAGAGTAGATCAGTTTAAATATTCAGGGGTATGGTTTGATAAAAAACGTAAGTGGAAAATGCATATTAGTAAAATTGTAGAGAAATGTAAAAATTTTTTAAATATTATGAGGTGTTTAAGAGGCAAATATTGGGGTGCTGGTACGAAATCTTTGAAAACATTATATATTGGACTTATTAAGTCAGTAATTGATTATGGGTGTGTGGTATATAGTTCAGCCTCAAATAATTTATTAAAAGAAGAAGATAAAATTTAATATCAAGCGTTAAGAGCAGTTTTGCATAGTAACAAAGTAAAAATACTTCACTACTTAAGTATATTTTGGAGAACTTCATACTTTCCTCGAGTAAGAACATTTTTGATAACTTTCACTTTTACTTCACTACATTTCCGAACTTAATTGCATACTTTTACTCCGATACATTTTCAATGTGTGGTTTAGTTACTCGTTACAAAAAAGCGAGAGAGAAACTCAAGTGTTTTGATCCCACCTACTGATCCACTGCAACAAAGCCTGCTTGCCTGGGCTTGTTCATCACCACCAATAGGATGCACAGGTTTCTCACCTACCCACCTACGTCAAAAAGTTCAACAAATAGTCTGATTGGTCAGTGCTCCGTTTGTGTAGGTTTGTGCCGTTAAAATTTTTGTTTGTACAGCTTTGGTTTCCGAGATATTTTTTAGGTCATTCAGTTACCATCCCCCCATTTTGCTCCAAAACAAACCAAAGTGGGCTGGTTCGTTAGTGCTCCGTTTGTGCAGGTTTGTGCCGTTAAAACAAACGCAGCAAAGTTGTTTTCAATTTGGATTTTGGCTATTCCAATATCCGGTGTGAGCGGCATCTAGCTCAAGGTTGATCCGATTCATGAATGTTAATTTCGGCCAGCCGTTCTCGAGGTCTCCCCCTTCCTCAAGGTGTCAGAATTTCACTCAGGGAGAGTCAACAAATTTTACATCCAAACTCTCCTGAGAAACTAATGGAAATAGATTTCTTGCCTTGTGACCAACTGACACAAAATTCATGCTGTCACACGAGACACGCTGTTCTCTAGTAAATTTTTAGTCATACTCAATATTTTCAGTAATTTTAATCTTAAAAAGTATATATTTTGGATGGCCTAAAAAATCATTTTTAATATCTCGGAAACCAAAGCTGCACAAACAAACATTTTAATAGCACAAACAGAGCACAAACCAATCAGAGTATTTGCTGGATTATTTGAGTAGGTGGGGTGTCAGCTTCACGGAGGTCGCTTCTCCCATTAAGCACCAAGTTAACAAAAAAGCTCTCCCTCTTCAGATGCCAAATAAGATGCATTTCCCTCCCAATTCTTTTTTTCTTTTGCATAATGACCAGTTGTGCACCTATAGTTTGTGAAGTAGAGTAATCGTAACGGCTTTTGTTCTTCATGTTGGCCGCATTTTGGCCATTATTTATTTTTCTCATTTTCAGCACTGACCTTACTGAAAGGATAAACTTAAGGCTTACAAAAACTTTGTATTTTCTGTCCTGGAGGGTTTACTAAGAAGCTGGTTCAGTTGTAAAGCAGGTTAAGTTAACCTTGTGGTTCAGGTTAAGTACCTAATTTTCTTAACTAAATGATGCCTGCAGGTATATCTATTAGCAGGTTTCATTTTGCCTGCACTTGGTTGTATACATTATTTTAAGTGTATTTGACAAGTTTACCAAAATATAAAAAATGTCATTCAAACTGCATTTGCCTTGTTTTACTTTTTACTTATACTTTCCATTACATTACTTGAGTACATCCATTTTTACAGTAATTTCCAAGTACAAGATTACAGTAATTTCCAAGTAATTAAGTACAAGACGTTTCAGGTACTTTAATACTTTAACTCAAGTAACATTTCAGTCAGTGACTTGGACTTTTACCAAAGTCATATTTTGGAGAGGTACCTATACTTTTACTTGACTCTGAGATTTCAGTACTTGAAACAACATAGTCAAAAACAAGTCCAAAACAGGGCAACCCGCGACTCATTAAATTTGCACGCCACTTTAGAAAGAAACAAGCCCACAGCTTCTTATAATAATTTGACTTGGCGACAGAAACTCAAAATAGTTCCTGTTTTTCCAGCAACAAAGTGCGAATTTCCTCCATTGCTCACATTTCTGTTACTGTGATCGGCTGCTGTTGCATAGAAACGGCAAAAATGGCAGCCACTTAATGTGGGGAGGAGATAAAATTACATTACAAAGAAAATAATAACGGAAAGTGATTTGTAGTAACTTTGATCTGATTTCTGGATTTGAAACAGCAACTCCTTAGATTACTGGTTACTGAAATAAGTAGTCCTACATTACTGGTGGTGATCATATGGCAAAAGACATTTTCATCTTTTCCATCCTCTTTAGATCAAATTTTGTTAAGATTCTTTCTCTTTGCTTTCAAACTGAGTCCACTTATTCCAGATTGTTCATGTTTCAGGACTGTTGCTGGGCAAAAGAATTTGATGGGTCTAGGTGTGGACAATAGTCCACTCCAGGACCTTGAAGTGCTTTTTATGGAGCCACTCCTTTGTTGCCCTGGATGTGTGATTCAGGTTGTTCTAATGCTGGAAGATCCAACAGCAACCCATCTTCAGTGACCTTACTGAGGGAAGGAGGTTGTTGCCCAGAATCTTGATACGTTGCAGAATCCACCTCAATAAGTTTCAGTTATCCTGTCACCTTCACAGAAAAGAAACCCAGCCAAACAGAACCTCAACATGCATCGATTATTTTTTGGTACTAGTTCTAAAACTGAACTTTGTGGTTGCTGCTAACGAGTGATTTCACTATGCATATAAGGGTTTAGTCTGTCTTTTTCAATATTTTTTGCAGACTAAAATACCGTAAATGTTTTACTAGGCTGACAGATCAAATTAGTTACATGCAGAAGAGACCATGGAATACTGAATACACTGAATAAAATGATGTAGAGTTGAAACAAAATAAAAACAAAATCATGTTCAAATTTGTAACTATAATAGAAATAATGAGACTTATAAATTCAAACTATGGAAATGTTATTTTAATTTCTTACAGTGCTTTTTATCCCGTTGACAGCAGAGTCCCAGCTGATACATTTTCTGTTGTCACCCACCTGTATCCCATAGGGCAGCTGCTGCAGTTGGCACTGCACCAGATGCATACACACTGGAATAATAACCATTTAGAGTGTGATTTAGCAATCATTATAGCCCTGTACACTACGCTGCTGAGTAAGATATTCAAAACAATGGCTCCATAGATCATTTAACCATGATGATGAGTATAAAAGTGACAGAGTTTGCTTTGCCCAAGTACCACTGCAATCAGGGACAGGACTGACTACCAAAATGGGCAGAGTAAGAGAGCCTGTTGGACATTTGTTACAACATAAGCAGTTAATTTCCTACCAGATCATATCTAACACCATTTTTTGCTTCCAGATAATCTTTTATGAGGACAAGAACTTCCAGGGTCGTTCCTATGAGACCAGCAGCGACTGTGCAGAGCTCACCTCTTACCTGAGCCGCTGCAACTCCTGCAGGGTGGAGAGCGGCTGCTTTATGGTCTACGAACGCTCCAACTTCATGGGTCACCAGATCCTGGTGAGGCGAGGAGAGTACCCTGACAACCAGAGGCTCATGGGGATGAGTATGAGCGACTGCATCCGCTCCTGCCGCATAATCCCCATGGTAACAACCCATAATCACACTCTGCATCGCCGTACGTTTATGTAAGGTTAAAGAGCTTTCTCATGTGAATCACATTTTGATAGACAATCATGCACATTGTCTATCTCAATGTGCGTGAGATAGACACGCACATTGCTATGTTCTCCTGTGTATTTGATATGTTGTCAACTAATCATTCAACGTCCTATACTTCTAAGTGACCTTTAGAAAGATATTTATTCTTCTTTATGCCTGTTTTAATTCAATTTGCACTGTGAGTAAAATATTTCCTGAAAGTAATCGTGCTTCCTCTCACAGCACAGAGGTCCATTCAGGATGAGGATCTATGAGAGGGAGAACTTTAGTGGTCAGATGAACGAGCTGATGGACGACTGTGACTCCATCCAGGAGCGTTACCGCATGTCCGACTGCCAGTCTGTCCATGTGATGGACGGCCACTGGCTGCTTTATGAGCAGCCCAGCTTCAGAGGCAGGATGCTGTACCTGAGACCCGGAGAGTACCGGAGCATGAGGGACATGGGAACGGGCCCCATGGACATGCGGATCGGCTCCATCGGACGCATCATGGAATCCTGTTAGACAGGACAGAAAAGCTCGTGTTGATAAATTGACTCAATTCAAATTCAAGCCATTTGAGTTTACTGGGATATTTTGGCTTCAAATCTGAGATAAACCCACGAGAAATGAGCTGTTTATGTCAATAAACAGTTGATTCTGCAGTGAGTCCTGATTATTGTATCAAGCAAACTAAGTAACCTAATTCACCAAACATTAAAAAAATCTATAAGTTTAAAAGCATGTTGAGATCTTTTTTTTAGTTTCTAGTTTCAAGAAGTATTTTTCTTTGTTTCTCTTTACTCCCATTCTGCCATCAAAATGATGACGTTTCACTTCAGCGGATTTTGCAGATGTCAGTGCAAACTGTGAAGTGATTGTATGGTTTCCTTATCTGAAGGAGACAATGAAACCCAACAAACTACTGGAAGCCAAAGACAACAAGATGAACTCCTAAAGGATGAACTCATTTCTTTTCAGATTCATTATTTCTGCACTTTGATCTGTGAAACAGTCAAGCAGTATCATGTTAACAGTCTCTTAAGACTAACAAAACACCACACAGCTGACTTCACTTCTGGAGAATCTAGAGGAAAACAACTGACTTACAGTACAAGTTGATCAATCAAGTCTAACAATATTTTTGACAAAATGTCAAACAACAAAAATGGTGTGCAGCTGTAAACCACAAATACATCACCTTTGAAAAACAATTGCTTTGAAAAAAGGACTGGTATTTGCTGACTATTTTGTCTTTTACTTTGCAGTTGAAAGCAAAACCTTTCAAATGCGTAAACTCAGAGCACGCATTCCCGGTAACACTGTATTTGAAGGAGTGTGCATAAGACTGATATAACACTCATAAACATGAAGGAATTTTCATTAATGTCACAAACTCCATTACTGTTGTCATACTAAGTTGTAATAAAACTTGCATTAAAAGTGTCAATACATCACATTTTTAAAGTAGACTAATGCTATCAATCACTGTTCTCCATGGCAACACTTTTACTACAACTACCACTATTAATTCCATCTGCTAACTCACCACCAGGTGGGTGGAGTATGTGTCTGAGTAAAATGCTTTTATACCCAAATGTGGGGATGCGTGATGAAAATCTATCCATCCTAACATAAAACAGCACAGTTTTAATCAAACAGGAAAGTTCAACGGCTCAGACACTGTTTGATCAAAGAGGGAAGGACTGAGACAGATTTAGGAAAAATAATGCAGCACTAAAACATTTACACAGAAATGTCAAAATGTTCACAGCACCACACAGACTGGCCCAGATAATCTGTTTAGACAGTTTATCAGGAAAAAAGCTGATTTGGGGTCAGATTCACATTAAGCACTAAACAGGCCACCTGGGATTGCAGAACAAGTGTGAGATAGTGATATGATACTGATCTGAGACAGGAACAGCTGTTAAGTTCACATGTGTACAGAACGATACTTCACTGTCTGTCTGACATGATTAATGTAATGAACAAAGGAAAGTCTTGAGGATTGTGCACAAGATGTTTTCTTGTATTTAAAGTAATACATTTATTTTTATTGAAGCCACATCCACAAATCCTGAGCAGGGCACATAGGTAAATATTGAAGGTTATAAGCCACCAGGAGGTTTCACTGCAAAAGTCAAAAGATCTTAATAAAATTCCTGCTTACCAGGATGTGATCAGTTTCTACCTTTGAAACCTGCTGTGATCTAGGAGCATGCCTGTCTTACTTTACCAGCAGTGGTAATGTTTCAATATAAAATCTTGTTCCTGATTAATTTAAGTAAAATCAAAGCTTGCTCAACAAGCAAAAGACAGGACAAAACATGATGCTCAAAGCTTATACCAGATAATTTATTTATCCATGCCACACTGCACTGATGCAGTAATTCATGAACAAGTTTTACAGAAGCCAGACATTTCTGTTTAAAGATTCCTTTTTATGGATTTTATGTAATATTTTGAGACAAATAATTCTGGCTGTAAGCCATAACTATCAAAATGAGAAGAAATAAAGGCTTGTCAAATTTCTACTCAATGTGAATCCATAAAATGTGACTTCAGATTTGAGTGACAATATTAATTTAAAATATTGAACTTCTTCGGGACAGTTTTTGCAGCTGTAGCTAATTGTATTTAAAACAGATGTTCTTGAAAATATAATGTGATTATTAACAATAGCTAGATTGCTCCACAAAGATTCAAAAACTTTAATTTGTGTTTAGTAATATATTTCCAAGGCACACGCAGAAAAATGTTAAAAGGATCCAGGATTAGTTGAACACGTTGGTCTAAATATGTTGCAATTTTTCTATTACATAAAAAAATTGCTGTTTTTGATACACCAAAACTCATAGTTACTTCAAAAATGTACATCTTTTGTTATATTTATAGCGGTCGCCATTTTTTTAACTGATGGCTTGATGACATTATTAAGTCCATTCTGTACTGGAATTTACGGAGTAACCACAGAAAGGCTAACTTTACCCAAGCAGTTGCTCATCATATTACGTTTGACTCGTGTCATTTTAGATAATGCCACACTGTGTCACTATTGGCTGTAATTTTCAGAAATAAAAATAAAAATTGAGGCGAATCTAGATAACTTCCCACATGAAAGAAAGGAGAGCTCAATAAAATTCCTGCTTACCAGGATGTGATCAGTCCAACGAAGGACTTAATCTAGACCCTGGATATTTCTCCACAACAATTTGAGTCATTTATACCAGCAGAACTAACAATAGTTTTTATATCAAAAATAAATCTTTAAAATATAAGGTCTATTTTTATAACTAATTGTGGATTTCTTTGACAGTTATTCATTCTCTTTTCTATCTTTTCTACAATGCTTGTTTCAATCTGTGTGTTGGCAGAGGCTTATGAAACGTGGCACACATCATTTATGTAAAATGGAGCATTTTGTGAAATACACATTTTGTTTGAGCAAACACCTCCTACATATTTATTCGTAGCAACTTGAATGATTAATCAGTTTTTAAGGAAATGAACTGCAGGTCATATGCACCTTGGCTCTTCAACAAAGTATTTAAGTGTGCCCTAAAATCAACCCTAAAATCAGACTTTTTGTCAAAACAAACACCAAATACAAGGTGAAAGCACCACCAAACCTTCTGTCCATTATCACAATGCACTCCTGAGCACATCTGTGTCATCATTGCCAAAATTTTGTCTATGTTCATTAAGGTCAGGAAGACATATTACATATTAAAGTGGATGAATCACTTTAACCTTATTAAATGACAGCCTTCTTATCGAACAAAATGACGGGAAGTCATCCATTTTGGATTGTAGTCTCAAAGTTTAGGTGTAAACTCAAGGAGGTGGCAAGACTTGAAAAAGCCAGAGTTGCTCTAGGCCTGCAGATTTAAATTTGCTGCTAAAAATTCCATTTACATACTTCTTGTAATGGCTTTAAAAGTAGCAATATCTGATTCCATTTGGTTTATTGTTTTGATTTGTCAGTATGAATTGGTTCAGCCAGTTCTCAATCCTTAAAACGCAGATGCAATCTGCATGGTTTTCTTGAAATCTCATCATGGATGTGAAATATTTAGTTTTATCTCTGAAGTAACTGAAGTGAAATATTGTTTTGTTTGAAATGTATTAAATGTAAATATTACATTCTCTAGTCCAGAGTTTTGCTTTGCTCATAAAAATATAACATAAAGCAGTCCAGGTGTCATATTAGGTTTAGAAGCTTCTCGTTATTTTTCATTATGCCTAGCAACAATGCTGTACGTATGCAGTGCATGCATTTCCACCAGAAGAGCGTAGTGCTGGATAATGACCCTTTAATGCCCTGGCAGCGCTATAGTCTTTTATGGCATGTTGCTGAGTGTGGACTTTACACAATAGAAGCCCAACATACATTTTTATTTTCAGCAAGTATAAAAGTAACAGTAGCCAGTGCCAGGACCACACATCAGCCACAGTTCAGTCCTATAGGAACCAACTGAAGTGTAGGATCATGGGCAAGGTAAGTTGATCATAAAAATGATCAACATGTTCAATAAAATGTGACGATGCCAAATTTATATTTGTATTTTTTTTTAACTGATTTCAGTTGATGATTTTGTCTTCTCAGATCATCTTTTACGAGGACAGGAACTTCCAGGGTCGCTTCTATGAGACCAGCAGCGACTGTGCAGAGCTCACCTCCTTTCTGACCAGGTGTCACTCCTGCAGGGTGGAGAGCGGCTGCTTCATGGTCTACGACCGCCCAAACTACATGGGAAACCAGTACTTCATGAGGAGGGGCGAGTACGCTGACTACATGAGCATGATGGGAATGTCTGACTGCATCAGGTCCTGCCGTATGATCCCCATGGTACTGCATCTCATTTCTACACAATGTTTTATTTTTACTGGCAAAGCATGATCTAATCTGGGTTTCTCAAATCCTTTTACAGTACAGGGGATCCTACAGGATGAGGATCTATGAGAGGGAGAACTTCGGTGGTCAGATGCATGAGTGCATGGACGACTGTGACTCCTTCATGGATCGCTATCGCATGTCCAACTGCATGTCCTGCCATGTGATGGATGGCCACTGGCTGATGTACGAACAGCCCCATTACAAAGGCAGGATGATGTACCTGAGGCCTGGAGAGTACAGGAGCTTCAGGGAGATGGGATATGGAGGAACCAGGTTCATGAGCATGAGGAGGATCATAGATTCCTACCACTAAATTCCAATAAAGTTATCCATTCTCTTTTCTATATTTTATACAATGCTTCTTTTTTTACTTCTGGAAAAGTTGCAAGGAGGGTACAATAAATCCCTCTTTGCAACCTCAAGCCTCCTTCCCTGCATGTCTAAAGTATTTCCTTGCTACCACATAACTGATATAAATAACATATTGATTACCAGGCTTCAGCAGAACTGGATAGAATGCAGAGGAGGTCATGTAGTCTTTAGAATCTTCTGGAGAACAGAGACACATTTAAAACACATAGGTCAGTGGGAGCTCAGGACCAACCACCACATTCAATCAATAACCCAACTCTGTCTCTTAACGGTTAAATAAACTGTTTAACCTTAAAAATAGATGATAATTTTGATCTAATAAATGCTAATCTTCAAATTGTCTGCAAATCAAATGACAGAATAGATTCTTAATAAAAATTCTTTTCTGCTCACTCCCTTGCAGACAAAGATTAAAGAGTGATTCCCAATGTTACTGTCTATCCATTATGTACATGTCATCACCAGGTACATACCTACATTAATTCCCTAATACTGATGTGTTTCCCTATATTTACTTTCTGTTTTATGAATTAAAAACAGCGATCTGACATTTTCTTACAAATAAAAGATCAACTGCTGTCAAATTTAACCTTCAAATTACCTGCTAATTCTTGTCATTCAATATTGTATTTACATTATGCTTAAGATACATTGTTGCAATAAGACTTTGAAAAACACTTCAATATTGATCAAATCTGAGTTGACATGTTTGGAAAAGGAATCCCAAACTGGAAATTATTCAGCCATCCAAACCAGAGTGGAAGAAGAGCCTGGAGACAAGGGATTATAAATATATACTTATAGTTTTATCTAAATATTTTGAGCTTTGCTATGATAGAGGCAAAAATGACAATACAAAGTGTCTAAATTGTCAAAATCTCCTCAGCAATATATACATAAGCCCTTAAAAAATATTGTTCCAGGTCATTGTAATATTGCGACGCCTGTTAAAATAAGAAGCACTATTAAAGCTAAACAACACGATAAGGGCAATCAATCCTATTGTGGTTTTTTTTACTGTAAAGTGACCTTGAGTGTCCCAAAAGGTGCTTAAAATAAAATTTATTATTATTATTATTATTATTATTATTACCAAATGTATTAACTTTATCTGGGGCAACATTGGCTCAGGACGAAGGGGTTCAATGTGTCACTCTTAGGTTGGTAGGTAGGTTCAACTTTTGTTGTAGTTGTTTCTCTCTCTCTCTGTAGGTGACATTATAAATCTCTAGATCATCAACATGAGAAAATAGAGTGAAATTAGTGACTCTAAAATGGTTCATATGTGTGTCGCGTCACCTGAACTGTGGTGAGGTACATTTGTATCTTTATAACTAGAGGTAAAGATAATGTACCCTCAGTTATAATTAAAACAATATGGGCTCATGGGTTTAATCCAGGCTAAAAGGATCAAGTTTTTAATCAAACAAACATATTGAAGTGATTTATGGCTAAGCTTTTGAAGAGTGGTTTGAAAACAATCCGTCTCAAAAATGTATGGCCTGTCCATTCCCATCTAACCTCTGTTGGGTTGCAGGGCCTGGACAGTAATCATGAACGATTACACTCAGAGACCAAGAATAGAGAGAGCAACCTCTTTCATAAAGAGAACATGTAAACTCCACACAGAAAGCCAATGCCTGGGATTCTATCACAGTTGTTGTGTTCTCTGGTTGTTTTCTGACCCACATGCAGAATAAAGCTCAGGCCGCAGACTAAAATACATAACAATTTACAATATTCACAAAGAAATGTGCATTGAGGGTGTTTATGTTTGAGACATGTATGTTTGAGACTTCCGGTGTAAGTCAGTCATCAATCACTGAATGTTTTTCTGAAACGTCTTATTTCCATAGCAACATGATGGTGGCTACATCCAATAACAGGTATCCTCTGAACTGTAATATGATTCACACTCAACTAAAACACATTCATATTTAAGGGTCACAGCAGTAGGACTATCACCCCAACTGCTGTAATGTGTATATCTGATTAATTTAATGTTTTGTTTAATTCTGCAAACAAAGTTTGAAAAAATTAGAGTCAAACTTATTTAGTTTTTATAAATGTTTTATTGCTAGCTTTAGAAATTCAGAAAGTGACTTGGTGTAGATTACAGGGACCTCAATTAACCTGATCCTTTTATGATCTTATATTATCAAAATATTAAAATCTTAGTGGAACTTTATGTGAAAATTGTTTGCACCCAGAAGCAGGTTGGTTGTTCAAGATTTTTTCTTCTTTTTTGCTACATATTCATAACATAGCCTATTATCCACATGGTAGGGTGGTAGTCAGCTGTTTCTCTGCATCAAGGTCAACCAGTCCATTACTAACATTCTGAAAACATCACCACCACTTACAGATATAACCAATTTGACTTTTTATTCATTCTCTATTGTTCCTCAAAGATGTGGAAAAACTGTAACAGTTTAAAAGTCAACTCTATTAGTCATATCAAATTATCTTGATGCATGTGAGCTATGCATCAACATACAGTGCTTTTGTACAACACCTAATATCAAAATGCATTTAGTGTACAAACAACAGATGAAACATGTCTTTCTCTATTTACTGTCATAAAATATTAATACAAAAGCAATTTCTATTTTTCTTTGCTATTAGGAGTAACATCAACATCATTCATGAGGTCATCAACTTCATACAAACACAATTGTCAATAAAAAAATTGTTTTCAAAAGAAATTGCTAAACAACGTTCATGGCCCCACTGCTATATGTGTAAGCAACTCAAAATGCTCTAAGGCTTCAATAGTATTTTGCCAGGTCAGGAATTTGAACAATAGAGGGGAACACTGTCTTTGTCTACTGTCAGGTATAAATGTAAGATACTCAGCCAGGCAGGGTATCAGTTCATCTACAGTACTCTGAGTGACCTGACAAGCCACCACCACCACCATGGGCAAGGTAAACATTTTTACATCAATGGTAGATTACCTACAAGACTCATCTAGTGAGGCTTAATCGCTGTGATATCTAAAAAAAACTTTTTGCTCACAGATAATCTTCTACGAGGACAGAAACTTCCAGGGTCGCCACTATGAGTGCATGAGCGACTGTGCTGACATGTCCTCCTACCTGAGCAGGTGTCACTCCTGCAGGGTGGAGAGCGGCTGCTTTATGGTCTACGATCGTCCCAACTACATGGGAAACCAGTACTTCATGAGGAGGGGCGAGTATGCTGACTACATGAGCATGATGGGCTGGAGTGGTGGAATCAGGTCTTGCCGTATGATTCCTTCGGTATGTATTAAACAATAAGTTATTAATTTCTAAGACTGGGGCAACTAGAAACTGGATTCTCATTATGTTTATATGCTCCAAACAGTACAGGGGATCCTACAGGATGAGGATCTATGAGAGAGAGAACTTCGGTGGTCAGATGTATGAGATGATGGATGACTGTGACTCCATCATGGATCGCTACCGCATGTCTGACTGCATGTCCTGCCATGTGATGGATGGTCACTGGCTGATGTACGAGCACCCCCACTACAGAGGCAGGATGATGTACATGAGGCCTGGAGAGTACAGGAGCTTCAGGGAGATGGGATATGGAGGCATGAGGTTCATGAGCATGAGGAGGATCATGGACATGTGCTAACTGTACAATTTTAATGTCATAAAATAAATAAAATGGTACACATTTATTGATATGCCTAAAATGTTTTGATTATTGTTAGTGATAATTATTTTCATCAGATCTGGGCTTAATGTTGGTGTGATAAAAGAAAAATTATCTTAATTTAAACTTTAGATTACAGATTTATGTGAAATTTGAACTTCAATTTAAAAATTGTTGTATTTACAAAAATGTTTCTTAATTCGAGAAGTTTGATTTTTAATACTTATCACCTAAAGGTAAAGGTAATTTTATATATGTAGAATATTTTCACCAACAAGGAAATTAAAATTGCTTTATGGGCTTTAAAAGGAAATACAAACAAAATAACAAACCAATAGAAAGAGTAAAAGAAGAAAAAGCTGATAATGTTAATCCAAAGTAAATAAACTAGATACTAGATATAGATATTCAAGGTTTCTAGATAAGTAAAAGTAAGTATCCTCTGGCCTAATATCTACTCAGCATTGGGGAAAAAGTTGTCTTCCAATATTGCCCTGTGTTCAGTTCCATCCATTTTCCCCATCAACTCTGCTGAAGAAAAGCACACCCACAGCATGATGCTGCCACCACCATATTTGACAGCTTGGATGGTGGGTTCAGAGTGATGTGCAGTGCTAGGGTTTTACATTTCGGCTAAAATTGTAGCTTCTTCCACATGTTTGCTGTGTCGCCAACATGAGTTCTGTCAAAAACTACTAACGGTTTCCTTTTAATAATGGCTTTCTTCTAGCCACTGGTCCATAAAGACCACATCTTTGCAGTGAAGGCTAATAGTTGTCCTGTGGGCATATTCCCCCACCTGAGCTGTGGATCTTTGCATTTGGTCCTGAGTCATCAGGAGCCTTTTGGTTGAATCTCTAATCAGTGCTCTCCTTTCTCAGCCTATAAGGATGGCCTCATATTGGTAGCCTTACAGTTGTGTCATACTCTTTTCTTCTCCGGATGATGGATTGAACAATGAAATGTTCAAATCTTGGAAAGATTTTTGATTGCTTAAGACTTCTTTAAACCTCTCCACTGTTTTCTCCTTGACCTGACTGCTTTGATCCTTGGACTTCATGATGCTGTTTTGTCCTCAATTTTCTCTTAACAAACCTCTGAGTCATCAAAGAGCCGCTGGATTTGTACCAATATTAGATTAGACAAGCGGACTCTGTTTAGTCATTAGCAATCACTCAGATGAAACAGCTGAATACTTTTGCACACTTTTCAGTTTTTAATTTTTAAATATTATTTTAAATCATGAATAATTTTCTTTCTACTTCATAATTGTATACCACTTTTTTGTTGATTTTGTTCATGTTAAATTCCAATAAAATATATTTATGTTTGTGGTTGCAATGTGAAAAATGTGGAAGAGTTCAAGGGGTGTGAATATTTTGCAAGCCAAGTTAGTTATGGGAACATCACTGATTTCATTTATATTTCAATGATACATTCTAGTTTTGTTATTGAGAACGATTGATCTTTCTCAGAAGACTGAGGTAGTCATGAAGTTCCACAGGATTTCCTTACCCTGTATGCTCATGTTGAAGTAAAATAATTTGACAGCTGAATTCCCTACTCTACTATTGGCAATACATTTCTATCCTTCCATTTTCTGACATGGTTATTCCTTTTGGGGCTACCAGGTGTGCTGATGTCTATCTCCATCAGTGAGCTGGTGAGGCAGGGCAACACATAGACAAACAGGACAAATAATCATACATGCACTCACACCTAAGGAGAACGTAGAGATCAATCAACCTGACAGTCATGTTTTTGGACTGTGGGAGGAAGTCGGAGTACCCGGAGAGAATCCACGCATGCACAGGTTAGTTCTGTGCAAACTCCAGGCAAAAATTTAATCCATGACCTTGTTGCTGCAAGGCAACAGTGCTACCCACTGCGCCACTGTGCAGTCCCCACTTTGCTAGCCATCAATCCCAATAAATCTTCGGTACTATAATGACAAGCATTCCGGAACAACATAAAGACTGGATGATAGTTATTATGTTGAATCATCTTAAAATCTTATGCAAACTGTCCGGTCCTGTGATATCCAAACTATCTATTCATTTTCTGTTTTCTAGTGGTAATGTAGTTTAAATGATCAGAATAGATCAAATGGTAAAAGAAAGAGTTAAAAAATAAAAGCATTTAAGCTAAATAAGACAGGTCAAAATAATAAAACTACAACCTTAAAACATTCAAATATGTGAACAGCGTGACTTTGATTATAATTTTCTGTCAGACTTTCAAGGTACTAATGCCCCAGTGGCAAAGTTGAAATGCATTTCTGTCTTTGAACACAGTAAGAAAAATCAGTAAAAGTTCTCCTTCATCATTACTATGGTTGATTGCAGTAAGAATGTCATTTGAAATTATAGAGAACTAAAGTCAAGAGGTAGGCTCATCAGATTTATAATGATGTTGAGCCAGGGATTCAAATAGTCATATAGCTTCTACAAGGTATTGCACACAGAAGAGGAAAAAAAAAACTCCACAGGTTATTTCTCCAACCTTCCCACAAAGGCAGTCCTTAGGACTTCATTGGGAGAATCAACGTTAAGACATTGAAAGGTTCAAATTAATTTGGATGTTCCTGATATCTTCCAGTCTTCAGCACATGCCACTGCACAGCTGGATACAACTGGTTTGATTTAAGAAACAAAATCTGGGATGGCCACAAAGACGGAATGGAAATTTTAGTAGGGCAAAGGAATGACTGATAGAATCTATTTCTATCAAAGTAAGAACTTTTACTTTGATAGAAAGTAAGACATTGTAAGACATTGTTGCAATTATACAACAAAAATTAAATTTAGCTGAAATCTGTTTATTTTGATAATGAGAACGGGTTTTGGCCCGATGTTGATACTGGGGTGATGTGCTCTTTCTGGTTTTAGCAAGAACACAAGCAGCTGAGCTCTGAATCAGAGCTGTTTTATACAGAGATGCAAGACACTTGTCATTATGCAACAAACATTAAATGCATGGATGTGTTTTTCAGAATCATCCAAACATCCATTTTCTTACACCCTTGTCCTGAGAGCAGTCAGGAGGGGTGCTGGTGCCTATCTCCAGCGAACGTTTTGGGTGAGAGGCAGGGTCACCCTGGAGAGGTCGCCAGTGTGTCACAAGGCTTTATAAGAATCATTTGAGGGCATATTCTTTAGGTGTCCATCATCTTGGTAAGAGAGACCCAATCGCTAAGCATGTCTGGTCCCTTCAGGTTGAAATATCAGACAGCCCAACTGGAGTTGTAAAACCCACATTGAATCATCTAGTGGTGTCCATCACCACTGCAGGGGTTGACACAGACAGTAAGCAGGTTTGGTCCCTTCCAGTCAACAGGCCAGCCAGGATAGTAAAAACGACCCTTGTTCCCTCATTTTACACCTTTAAATGGCATAAAATTCTGAGTTTGTGTTTTTCCAGACAAGTTAAATTGATGTCCAATTCTCAATTTTCCCAGGGCACCATTCCTGCCGGGAAATAAACCAGAGCACAGGACACAAGACTTACAAGAATAACACGTAATGTGAAAAGGCCAGGCCCAGCTTTCTCCAGAGCAAAATTACTGCTGGGATTTAAATCAGAACACAAAACAAAATTAGACATGATGGGACAACCAGACTTGGCCACCAGAGATTTAAACAAAATAATCAAGACTTACATACAAAAGTATGTATCTGAGTACTATGGAGTCACAACAATACACAGGCTAGCAAATTTCAGCTTCCAATTGAAGTTTTCCAAGAATACAAACTGCCAAAAAAAATACAATTCCTTTCAGTTTATTTATTTAGTGCCAATTCACAACAAATATTGTCTCAAGGCACTTTATGAAAAAAATACAATTTAAATATCAATTCAATCAATTTCAATTGATCCCAGTTTTCAAACAGTATATTATGCTCAATGTTATTAGAAGATTTAATGAAAACAAACACATTACATCAAGTCATGACCTTGCAGAACTCCTCCTGCATGAGAACATAGCAACAATTGCTTACATTGTGTTGTTGATATAAAAAATATTTCTATTCCTTTTGTGTTCTATCTATGACAGAAAATTCAAATCAGAATCATCAAAACAAAATATGCCACCATTAAACACAAGAAAGAAATTTTAGATTCGCCTTTAACTTTATAAACTAATAAAGGTCAGATAACCCCTATGGGCACATTATGTGCCATAGGGCTGGAACATGCAATTTTTAACAGTCACATGGCTTAGTCTATTCACATGTTACAGTCACGGTCAAAATGCTGGACGTACATACATGATAGGAAGGCTTTTCCAAAGAGAAAAAGGTTGCTGAGTTGAGAGTTTTACAAAAGGGGGTCCAGTAGTTCTCTACATTTGCTCAGGTATAAAAGGAAAACGTTTAGCCAGGTAGGAATGCAGTACAGGAGCAACACAACCACTCATCAGCAGCCAACATGAGCAACATGAACATGAGGGGCAAGGTACAAAATCTTTAGTTAATTAATAAATGCAGTTTTCATTTGTCAGTATTACGCTGTATGATTTCAAAATACAATTTTCTCTTACCCAGATCATCTTCTATGAGGACAAAAACTTCCAGGGTCGTCACTATGAGTGCATGAGTGACTGTGCTGACATGTCCTCCTACATGAGCAGGTGTCACTCTTGCAGGGTGGAGAGCGGCTGCTTCATGGTCTATGATCGCCCCAACTACATGGGAAACCAGTACTTCTTCAGGAGAGGAGAGTACGGTGACTACATGAGCATGATGGGCTGGAATGACTGCATCAGGTCCTGCCGTATGATCCCCATGGTAGGAAATTTCATCTCTACATAGAATATACTTTTTCTAGCTACAAACCCAATCTGATGTTTGTTTGAAAATGTTTTACAGTACAGAGGATCCTACAGGATGAGGATCTACGAGAGGGAGAACTTTGGTGGTCAGATGCATGAGTGTATGGATGACTGTGACTCTTTCATGGACCGCTACCGCATGTCTGACTGCATGTCCTGCCATGTGATGGATGGTCACTGGCTGATGTACGAGCACCCCCACTACAGAGGCAGGATGATGTACATGAGGCCTGGAGAGTACAGGAGCTTCAGGGAGATGGGATATGGAGGCATGAGGTTCATGAGCATGAGGAGGATCATGGATTCCTGGTACTAAATGTGTATTCTTGAATATCAATTAAATTTTTCCAAACTACTAGTATCTTTGCTGTGGTTATTTATTAAGTGAAGGGCTATCATAGCAACAGTATCACAAAAATACGTTTATTTTCTCAATGATTAACCACACTTTTTAGGACTTCACGTTATCTGGCTGCATCTAGAACAAGACATTAAAATTTTGACATCTGAATTACAAAGGAAAGACTACAGACTCAGTTGGACAAGATGAAGCAAGTGAATTTGTCTTAAAAAGCAGGATGTGCTCTTATCAAAGACACATGAAATAATAAAGTTGTTCTGTTGCAGTTATGTTGCATATCAGGTGACAAGTAAGAGTTACAAAGCAATTTTGTAAGATGTCAAGATGACAAAATCGAGAGTGACAGTCATTATCCAAACAAGAACATTCATAGAGCCAGCATATAAAACAGAAAATGAAGGACTCCACCGGAGTTCACCATGGCAAAACAAAAGGAAAAGACTAATTGTCAGTAATCACAAGTGCTTGGTGAGAGCATTTAGGGTTAGGTAGCAAACACTTTTTACTGTAGGGCATGGTGGATTGCTTTTCTCTAAATAAATGTAAAAAATTCAGAAAGGCACTTTATACTTACTCTGGTTATTTTTTTTTTACTTAAAATTAATCTTATGAACGGAAAAAATTAGGTGTAACAAAAAGTAGAAATCTGAAAGAGAACAAATACTTTCTCACAGCATAATATTGACGTTCTTTGAATTTTTCCATATTTTATCACATTACAGCTAAAAAGAAAAGCATTTGTCAGACAAAACACAAAGTGCTGTGAAGTCGAAGGAAAAATTCACATACTGCATCTTTCAAAATCCATGCCAATCGAAGAAAAATAAGTCAACTCAATCAGAATGGATTGGATTGAGCTATGTCAGTGGAAATTCAATTTAAAGCAGGAGAATGAAGAAGACAAACCTGCCGAACCGCATCTATAAATGAATGCATTTCCTTGCTGTAATTACTGTATTTCCACAATCTCCATCCAAGCCAACTACCTTCCAATGGAGCATAGGTATCCATGTCAGATACCTGTAAAAATATTTATGTTACTGCAATATGAATGAAGTAAATGAAGCCTTGACATAATTAAGAAGTTAGCTAAAGGGCAAGTCAAGAACATCACTGAATGCATTTGGATAAAATAACAACAATAATTATAATTATAGCCAAAACATGCAATACAGTTATATCCTCAAGAAGTCAGCTAAAATCTAGCACACAGAGCCAACATAAGCAGAAGACTCAATTCTATTATCAAACCAATGTTCAGGACATCATCATCTACACACACAATTCATGTCTAAAATAAGCTTTTGTCATTTTATTAACAGCTTTGTGCTTTGCTGTGTACTTAGTTTCCATAAAGAGAAGGAACTCACCCCTCAGTCAGACAAACTCTTTTGGGAAACTCTTAATAATACTGGATGTTGCTGAAGTACTCATCCATAAGTGGTCTGTACGAATAGACTTTCCCCCACTTTACTGGGAACATTCCAGAGAAAAATAAAGTTTAACCAGACACTTCGAAGGGGCTTCAATGGCGGAGGTTGATGTAAGGAATTGTGTGCATCAATACAGGATAGAATCCAACACTTTGATTTGCCTCCTTGCAACTTTGACATAACTGAACTCGGACTACAAAATTGCTGCAAGGTTAAAAATGGCGGATTAGCAGAAAGTCAAGACAATATTTAGCAGTTCCATAGCAAATGCACTGACGTCAAAGACAAGAAAACATTATAGAGAAAAATGAACAGACTGAAAAATGAAACCCAAAAAGTATATGAAAACACTATCGTGCACCGGGGGCAATAAATGTCTTTATTTTTCTCTTCTGGAAACTCAAAATACTGAAAAAAATCTATTGAAGGGCTGAAAATAAAATTTTTGTATGGTATGTCCCCCTTAACACTGAAACAAGCAATGAGAAAAAAATCTAAACCAAAATCATTAAAAAAGACTTCAACAATCCTTGAGTCTTTCCCACAGTTGACAATCCGCCCTGACTGTAGCATCTGAACTCCATACAAGCACAACCTGTAATGAATTTGCCAATTTCATTACAAAGAATGTTATAAAAGTAGTGTTGATGCTGATCAACAACAAGAAATTCAGAACTATGAATTATATGTCCAATCAAAACAAATGTACACAAATTGACAATATTATACTAACTTCGCCATAAAAACTTAAAAAAATATAGAAATCAGTTAAGCTCTTCTTTCTGCTGTCTTGATACAACAAAACTGAAGTTATTTTATCATGTTTGTTTGATTTAACAGGGAATGATCAATTGTCAACACAAAGCTCCAGCTACTATTGCTATCTGGAGCCTAACCCAAAAAATGGATTGAGTTATGGACTCACACCTGACCCTTCAGAGAGACATACAGACTATACATATATATAACACTAAAATCCTACTTTTAATCTATGCTACAAACACTCCTAGACAATACTACCATCATATGGCAATTGAACTGTATTCAACCTTGTTAAAAACAATGAAATTAAATTATCTAAATTCAAGATACTGACGTGAACTTCAAAGTGTGTACAATGAGATGAAAATAACATCGTAGCTTTTTTTTTTTCAAATTACCCAAGACAATAAGACACATAAACATGTGCCTCCAGAGCATATTACACAAAACATGGTAAGGTATAATACAAACCTAAAAATATGTGAAGTTTGAAAAAAAGTCTACTAACAAAAACACAAAATAAAAGGCATTAAAAACTATTCTTTACAGTCCCATGCCTAATTTCCATGTTCTAAGCACTGTTTAAAGTGCTATGTATATGACTGACAGGTTTTTCTAAAGCCTAATGACAAAACCAGGCATGTAACCTCGGCATACTGTGCAGCTCTATGGTAAGTTACTGAGTTGGCATTTCCATAAAAGGGGGCCACTTACTCTTTACATTTGCTCAGATATAAAAGCAAAGAGTTTAACAGGTAGAAAGTCAGTTCAGGAGCAAGAGCAACCACTCATCTGCGGCCATCATGAGCAACACTGACATGAACATGAGGGGAAAGGTGCACAGTCCATTCTTAAAATTCAAATAATTATTTTACTTCTGGTCACTCAGGTCATTTTTCCATATATTTATTTTTATGATACTGATTCTTTAACTAGTATTAAGTTTATAGTGCTGATGTTATTTCACTCTTTTTCAGATCATCTTCTATGAGGATAGGAACTTTATGGGTCGCCACTATGAGTGCATGAGCGACTGTGCTGATATGCAATCCTACCTGAGCAGGTGTCATTCCTGCAGGGTGGAGAGTGGCTGCTTTATGGTCTATGATCGCCCCAACTACATGGGAAATCAGTACTTCTTCAGGAGAGGAGAGTACGGTGACTACATGAGCATGATGGGCTGGAGGGACTGCATCAGGTCCTGCCGAATGATCCCCATGGTAAGTTAGAATTTAGAATTCAACTATGAACATAGGGACATCAGTTATTAAAATTTGTATTCCAATCCTTTTACAGTACAGGGGATCGTACAGGATGAGGATCTATGAGAGAGAGAACTTCGGTGGTCAGATGCATGAGTGCATGGATGACTGTGACTCCTTCATGGATCGCTACCGCATGTCTGACTGCATGTCCTGCCATGTGATGGATGGTCACTGGCTGATGTACGAGCACCCCCACTACAGAGGCAGGATGATGTACATGAGGCCTGGAGAGTACAGGAGCTTCAGGGAGATGGGATATGGAGGCATGAGGTTCATGAGCATGAGGAGGATCATGGATTCCTGGTATTAAATGTTTATTGCTCAGTGCCACTAAATAAAACCATTCTGATGAACTAAAAATGCCGTCAGTATTGTTGATGTGAACATAGTATCACAAAGTAGCATCACACAATTTACTTCTGTTACTTTCTTTGTTTAAGTATTTTTAACATATAATTATTCTTCTGCTCTGAGTTTTCGCATGAAAACATTCATCCCATTATCACTATTCTTTTGAATAGTCACCTTTTCATCGTTCCAGTCACCAACATGACTGGAACGATGTTGTTTTACCAAAATGTTTTTATGGATGGGTACCAGGTCTTATTGGCATTTTGCTATGATTGATTATTAAAAAGAGGGCTAAACAAGCTAAACACCAATTATCACACTTTGAAGCACTTGGTAAATTTCCACTAAAACAAAACAAAGTATCCATTTTTAATTTTGAGATTTACAAAATCTCTTAAAGGACAACAGAATACATCCAACACACAACTTGCTTCCTAATTGGTTTTTGGTTTATAAGATCTTCCAAAACATTTACAATTCAAGTGTCTACAAACAGCTGTGAAAACAATGTACATAGCATACCGGCAAGTATAACTGTTGTGATTACACAAAGGAATCTGCATGCCTTCAAACTGTTCATATAACAGTGGTAGGTGGATACAGTGTGTTTTGAAACGTGATAAAGGGATTATTGTCTGTCACTACGTATTGTCTATTCAAATTTCCTCATTGTGTTGTCTTACATAAGTCTTCTAGGGGATTGTGTCACATGGAAATGTGCCACATAACCCTTTGGACTCTTTAGGCCTCCATACCATGATGCTGAGTCAGGGATTTATACAATGAGAGCCACAGATTCTTTGAGTTAGATCAGGTATAAAAGTAGCAGTTAAAACAATACAGCCGCTAATGTAGCTTAACTCCATTCTCACAAGAATCAACACTCCCACCACAACTACAGGGAAGGTCAGAACACTTGCCCTTTTTCTACTTTCCACCATTTATGAAATTTCCCATATCTTATTTAAAATTGATAATATTAATTCACTTCTTCCTAGATCATCTTCTATGAGGACAAGACTTCCAAGGCCGCTCATATGAGTGCATGAGCGACTGTGCCGATATGTCCTCCCTCCTGAGCAGGTGACACTCCTGCAGTGTGGAGAGTGGCTGCTTTATTGGATATGATCATCCCAACTACATGGGAAACCAATACACAATATTTTCAGAAGGGGCAAGTACG